TAAATTTCATATCCTGTCAGTAATTAGAAGGAAAAATACACATGGTTTCCACTTTTTTTCTGGGTGTTTATAGATAAATCCTCATATTTTCCAGTAAGAGTTAAAGGGTTCATTTCATTCCACGGTGTGTTTATGGCTTTGTGGTTATTTTGCACCTTATGCAGAGATGTTTGCTCCACCAGCTGGAAGGGGGCAGGATCGATCTTGCAGTTCTTGAAATCCACCGGCTCATCGAGCTGCTGCTCCTCCCACTCCGCTATCTGCAGCGAGAAGGACGACAGGACACATCAACTTCTAAACTCTGAATGATAAAACTCTTTATGAGGATGTTAGTGTTCTCACATCTGAGGGGGTCATACAATCTTCCACTTCAGTGGAGTCCTGAAAAGACAACATTCAGTTAGCCGTGCTTTGTTCCGATAAATACGCAAAAGCTTCACACAAAGTAGGACTGCACATCAAAACTTTACGTTGTATTGTTAATATATTGTACACATCACAAAGAGGTCAATCTGCTGGGGTCGCCTGCTCGTGTCAGTGTGGTTTATAAGATACAGAACTGTAAACCAAGAAATCATCAATGCCTTAAGTCTACTGGAGTTTCAAAGGCCAAAGGACAAGTTTGGTTTATTAATCACACAGTGCAGCTTGAACCCAGAAAATTATACCGACAACACCAAAAAAAACTTTAAAGAATCAACCATTTAAAACAAAAAAACCCAATGAATTCTCCAAAACACACAGAGGGAACAAGTATTAGCAGCAGTTCACAGTGACAGCTGATGAAACATTTGCTTTAACAAAAGACATTGAAACCTGCCCACCTCCCTCACACACACTTTCTCTCGCTCTCTCTGCAAAGCCACTCTAACGCTTTGGTTTGTGCTCCACAAATATTTTGGTCCAGCACTCACTACGTGTGTGTCGCAAGGCAACGGTTACTAAGCAACAGTCTCTAGGCGGCAGACAATCTTACCGCCATGGAGATCCTCACTCGTTTGGGCTTGGGCTTTCTTTTTTCAGGAGGAGCCGGCCCAGCCGGGCTCTTAAAGCCGGGGAAGAGAAGGCATCAACACAGCACAACATTAACAAAGCATCAGTGAAACTGGACAGTTTTACCCCCTTAACATGGCGTCACCGCAACATTGGATCCCAGTCTGACTTCTGCTGCGAGAAGTCTCTGTGATGTGAGCACAATGTTGCTGAAAGGGTATAATTACTGCACCACAGATGAAGGTGAGGGCACAAAATCTGTACAAGAAGCCCCATGTTAATACAATACTGGATGATAGATACACTGCCAGATAAAAGGAACTTGAACATCGTAAATTTTAGCATTTTTGCTCAGCACCCGGTGCCTTTATGTTGTACCTAAATGTCTCTATTAGCAGCTTCAAAACATCTTGCTCCACATTGTCTTGAGGCTGTCACACACGACTGAACCTGCTTGTTTCAGCTGTTCATTGATGCCACTTCACAATGGAGTGAAACTAAGTCGAACTAGACCTTTTTCTAGCAGACATTTTGACCTGTGAAGCAGAGTTGTGCCTCATAACATCACTAAAAGCTGCAGTTCATTGCAATACTTGCTGGTACAGTTCCATCTATAATATTATCAGGTCCCTCCTCTCCTGACGAGGCAAAATATGTACAAAAGGTTAGAATCAGATTCACTTTGGAACAAAAGCAGATTTTTGACCAAGAAATATCTTTTTCATTTGATAAATGACTCAACCCTCTGAAATCATGGCAGCTCTACGTACTACAGATGTTATACCGCTTACATTTGTGACTTGTCACCTACTTGTCTCCTGCCTGTGTACACAAACAGCCCAGTTCAGCCAAAAACTAACTTTGTTTTTTGTGACTATTGGTCAGTTGAATCCATCCATCCATTACCTATACACCGTTTAATCCTCACTAGGGTCACGGGGGTCCATCCAAGCTGGTCGCCAGTCTGTTGCAAGGCTACACAGAAAGGCACACATTCACACCTACGGACGTTTTAGAATCACCTTTGGACTGATGTGAGGAAGCCGGAGCACCTGGTGAGAACCAACGCAGGCACAGAGAGAACATGCAAACTCCACACAGACGGACCTCAGGACGGGAAGCGAACCCAGGACCTTCTAGCTGTGAGGTGACGGTGCTAACCGCTGCTCACGGTGCCGCCCCATAGCTGAATCACTACTAGAGTTATGATTGCACAGTGCAGAATTGTTTGGTTTTTTGACAGAATCGGCGAAGGAAACCGGTTAATTTTTGGCATTTTTTTTAAAGTGACACATTTAATTAGTATCATTTGATGAAATTTCAGATATATTTTTCAGATGGAACCACGTGTCACTGATTAGTAGTTTAAGAACTGCTGGAAAGTTGAACATCTGAACAACTTGTGTGTTTTTTTTCTGATAAATGTTGTCTTTTTGGTATTTTTTTTTAACAACACCATGCATTTTGAAGCAGGTTAGGAGGTATAGTGTTATATTAAATTATTTGTGATTCGTGAGCTTGTCTGACTGAAATATTCAAACCAAAGACTTGCTTTTTATGGCTGCACTGTTTTCAATTTAAAACATTCTATATCTCTTGTGCAATGCTGTAAAAACACTTTCTCCATATTCAGATGGGCATATATTGTGTCCTTGATCCTCGCCGCAGTTTTAAAGTTATGTGAGCGTCAACAATAGTGAGTTTGTCACACCTGACCCACCATCAGTGACGCCGGAGGGGGTTAAAGATTCATAAAACACACTACATAACACCATCGCCGCTTCAAATTTAACAACAACAAAAAAAAATGCTAAAATGTAGGATGCTCAAAAACGTTTGACTGGCAGCGAATGTGCGGTGCAGTGAGGGTGCGATGACTCACAGAGGTTTTAAAACAAAAAAGCTGAGACCAGCAGCATGAGATCACACAGGAAAGCCCTGCTGCCTGTGGGTGGATCCCGCCTGTCAGCGGCAGGAGGACGACGAGGTGGACGGTATATGCGTGGACTCAGAGAGAGCACAAACATCCTCTCATACAGTGCATGTCACACTCTTACTGTACGCTTGCACTCACGCATATATATCTAAAACCTCTGTTTCTCGCACTTGCACTCACCTCCAGCAGCTCCTTGTCTTGGTCAGCACAGGAGAGGGTCTGAGAGCCTCAGAGAGAAAATAAAAACCAGGTTTTATTAAATTTGGACTTGAATCCTGACCTTTTCAAACTGGTGTGTTCTTGGTGTCCCGCATCAGTCTGTGCGTGTTCTTGTGGTGTTAGAAAATACATACTATTTGGAGTCTCTGTGTCACTGATGGCGGACACAGTTTTCAAGGCAGATTTCAGAGGAAGCTGAACATTGGAAACCACTGGGCTGAAGGAGGAAGACTCCTCTGTGGAGATCTACATGGAAAATATATTAACAGAGAGAGCCAGACACAAGCACGTGCACACACACACATAGAAAAGACAAATACGAGCACATGCACGTAAACAAACAGGACAGCACAGGTAAGGGCACAGACGACACAGACACAAAAGACATGTGTTAATGTAAAAGGGCAAATAAATTACATTCATACAGTTTGTTAACACTTACCACAACAGCAGTCCAAAAACTCCATCTGTGCCTTTACCTACTGCTACATGCTTCACACATGCTGATCCACTCTTAGTCTACTACTACAACCCAACCCAAGCCAGACTTGGCCCCAGCCCAGCCCTGGCGCCCCCGGACGCCTCACACCTGTTGGGTGCTCACCAGGAAGCGGACCCCTTGGCGAGCGCTGGTGTTGGCCGAGGCATTGAGGTGGGTGTGGGTGCAGGGTGAGCTGGGGGTGCTGTCGGTGGTCAGGCTGGGAAGGTGGTCGTTGGTGCCGTTGTCCTGGGCCAGCTGCCGGAGGTACTCCAGCCTGCGCTGGCGGCCCAGCTGAAGAGAGAGCAGAGACTGGAGCTGGAGTCGCTCTATGGAGCCCAGGAGGATCATGGAGTCTGAGGGAGGAGGGAAGACATGAAAGAGAAAATGACAAAGGAGGAATAAAATGATAATTAGCGTATATATTTAAACAGGTGGATTACATTTGCATATAGAGGTGGGTGTTCTCAGAGATTTTCCAGTGCTGCTGTTTATATATAACTACAGAAAGATTACATTCACTGTAAAACCACTCTCCCCTCAAATATCACAAGATTAATCCGACATGTGTTGAGACCTAATTGATACCTTTTCTCTATTTCAGTGGCAATGACATTTGAAAATGCCACAAAAGAGTTGTGAAGATGCCCAAAAATATGTGGACAAAAACAACATCATAAAAAAAGATGCATTCGGGTGCCGCTATAGCTCACTTGGTTGAGCTGGCGTCCCATGTACAGGGCTACAGTCCCAATGTGAAGGTCATGAGTTCGAATCCCGCACATGACCCTTTCCCACACATCCTCCCCCATTCTTCTCCCCTACTTTCCTGTCTCTCTCTCACTGCACTATCAATAAAGGCACAAAGGCCAAAAAAATACCTTAAAAAAAAAAAGATGCATTCAGCACAATGAAAATATCTGCCTGATTCTTGTTTGTAGAAACTGAACGATAATAATATAATGGTATAAGATCGATGCCATGTGGAGCCTCCATTTCTTTCTGATATTAATAAAACCTGGGGACATTTAGAAAAATTACATGCTTGAGTTCTCTTTACTTTTAGTCATGATTATGCTGTTTCATACAAGTGTAGGACTTTAAATCGCAGCGAAAATTAGCCCACAGTGAGTAAAAATGTCGTAGGGAACACTGTGATTGGTTTTATTTTAACTTAGCAGCTGTTGACAAAAATGATCTTGTACCTCCTATGAGGAACGTAGCAGCAAAGTTAAAGCTTGGTACCAGCTGCATAGTCGTCCTGGGTCCTTGTGTCTCCTTCTGAACTTTTCATTCCAAAACCGTGAGCAGAAACATGCTGCTGTTACAGCCTTTATTCTTTCCAAATCCCAATCGTCAGCGAGGTCCGACACTGATGTCAGGTGATAAGGTCGCTGCAGATGATGTTAGAATCGTCACAGAAGTGTTGAATAATGTCAACATAAAGGCAGGGCTCTCTATAGCCTCGAAGTTCTTTCACAAAAAAAACCTAAAACATCTTGTTTTCTATGGACTTGACTTGGTGACACAGACTTTGTAAGGACTCAAACTGTGGCCACAAAGCAGGAAGAACACATAATTGTTGTTCTAAAACATGAAGATTTCACTTCCCCACATGGTGGAAATCCATTTTTATTGTGTTTTGTGTGTATTTTCTTTTAAAATAAACATTGAGGTGTAGACTTAAAGCTGTGAAGTAATGAAGACACTCACTTCAGCTGTTCCTTAAGCTCCAATTCAGAAGGAGCAGCTGCCTCATAGTCCGCCAGGTGTCTTTACTTTCTGGAGCTGCTTCTGCTAACTCTAAAATGTCTCAGCACAAAATGTTTTGCTGCTGGCTGCAAGAGCGAACAGTCTTTATGCACTCCCAGCATCCGAGGAACTGAAGGTTACTTTCATTTTCGAAGGAAACAACATCCCACAACAATAGGAAAATCCTCAGTGTAAGCATGCTAATGTGGCTAATGGTACCATTAGCTTTGATAGTAGTCCCACAGGTCAGGCCTCTGTGGGAACTGTAAGGCTGATGGACTGATACGAAACCGATAAACGAGGACCGGGTGTGTTTTCATGTCACCTGTTGTGCTTCAGTGTTTACATCTGCGTGCTTCTCTCCTGCTCTCTGTGCTCACATCAACTGCCTTTTATTGCAAACAAATTTACAATAAATATGTTTTCATGTACATGCTTTATGCTTTTCTGTTATGAAACAAATCTGAAAATGCAGCCCATTAAGACTAGATGATCACCAGCAGTCACTTCAGAGCCTTGTTCAATCTGCTGCCCTGCATCACAAACATTCAGATATTTTAACCAAGATGTTGTCTTGTAACACACGAGTCAAAAACAACAGCTGTGCCGTGAACTCAGTGATATCTCCATGCCGAATGATGGCTCAGCAAGGAAGTTAAAAGTGATAAAAATAAAAAAAAAGTCCTGGTGTCACACACTTATTCTGTCAGCTGCCGTGCTGTGAACTGTTTTTTTTCCTGTGCTGTCAATCACATTTAGTTTCTTTCAAGCCGAGGGTGTGGACGGCAGCAGATCAGCGGTTTTCAGATCTTCAGACGGTGACACGGCCCATTTAGAACACTGATAAAAGCAGTGGTTATACAGTCACGGTGAAATGAACCATCTCTGCAGTATTTTGAGCTGAGAGATTGAAAGACACACTGTGGGGACATGTGAGACTTTCATCACTTGGTTTGTTTCTCATTTACACCAGACCACGAGGAAACTAAATCTGACAACAAAAAAACAAACTGTGATTCTGAAGCACACACTTTGCCTTTAATAGAACTTAAGAGCCCAAACCCTGAACAGCCCTACACACATACTGTTTACGCACTTACCTCTGGATTCAACCAAGGCCAGCGTTTTGAGCTGACCAGTCAGCAGCATCTCCTGCAGGTCCCGATAGGAGGAGTTCAGAGTGATGAAGCGCACGTCCCTGACCATGATGTCCTCCACACGGATATTATATTTCCTGAAACACGGAGGAGGAGATTAAGGTTAAGTGACTGGAAGAAGGAGCGGGAGATGTGGAAACAAGCGGGAAGGAAATTAAAGGCAAGAGAGGGGAAAGAAAACGAAAGAGTGGAATAAAAAAAAATAAAATAAATGAGTGCAAATAGATCGCAGACTCACTCGTGATGCCCCATCCCCAGCTCGGGCAGATAAGGAAGTTTCTTGATGCGAATAATGGAGTCGTACAAGGATGGTTGGAGCGCCTGGGCCACGGCGTTGGCCAGGATAACTGCGATCATCACAGGCAAGATGTGGGAGATCTGACCGGTCAGCTCAAACACTATGACTGCTGTGGACACAGTGTGGGTGACTGCACCCGACAGAGCTGCAGCACCTGAATCAAAGAAAAATACACTTTTTACTTTTAAAGGCATCACATACTATTAAGAGACAAAAGGTTTAGCGTGTGATCAGCAGAAAACACAATTTAGACTGTTTAGTTTTGATGTGATGTGCTTAAACAACTAAATGTGGACGATTAATCAGAGGAGTGTTGTGCAACGGAGCAAATCAAAACAGGATTTCTGCAGGATGTTGTCCTCATTCATAACAGTTTAGCACTCAGCGAGACATGACCGCGGCAATTTTGCATTGAACGATTTTCTATTTCACTTCGGCCCAAAACGTAAAGTTCAATTTAGGAAGAATGGATTTTCATCAGTCACTTTCTATAAACTGGCATAAAGTGATAAAAAAAAATGGCTGCAACTTTGCCTCTGCGGCAATTTCAATCAGGAAAGGGACTGAGGGGGAGTGAAAAAGGCCTGGAAATTAATTTTAAGGCAAATTAGATACAAAATCTTGAATTAACTGAATGAACTGTATTAGAAAAATGGTTTTGAGCGACGCACCAACTACAGCATAACCACCAGGAACGATGGGATACACGGTGCCATCGGCATGTATGCCATCAGGAAACATGGTCGCCATGATCTCTCCGACGAGTCTGCCGAATGCCGCACCTGTTGGTCACACACAGACACAGCAAGAGGTTAATTTTTAGAAAGTTTACCTACATCGCTTTGCAAAAAACAGTAGATTTTATTCACCAATAAGAAAAACTGGCATGAAGGCCCCACATGGAACAGGCATGGTGGTGGCCACAGCGGACATCCAGAACTGAAACAGAGAAAAGAATGGATGAGGGATTGTAAAAAAAAAAAAAAAGCAGATTTTGCACATTTTCTACACATGCACAAAAGTTTGAGGTTCTTCTCCAGCATGCAGTGTGAACAGAGAGGAGTCTGATCAGTCCCAGTTTCATTCTGTGTCATGACAACAAACATAAAGCCAGAGTCATAAAGAGCCAGATTCAGCGACAAAGAGAACGACGAGTCCCGCAGCAGATGGTTTGACTCCCCACAGAGTTTTGATCTCAAAATCATGGAGGGATCACACGAAGAGGGAGAAGAGACCAAATCCACATAGAGCAGTGAGTTCAGGACAACTGGTGCTGTTTTAAAAGCAAAGAGCTCTCACAGCATTTATTTGATTTACGTTGTTTCTGCTCAAAGTCACCCTGGCTTTGATTTTAGCGGCCAAACCTCGCACACAACGCTGCAGGGCCTACCTTCATGATGATGAAGAGGATGAGTGTGATGAAGACGTTGACCTGGGGGTGTTTCCAGGCGTGGTGGTGGCTGATGTAGTCGAACTCTTCCGCCACGCCCTGGCGGCACCACGTGCGGTTGTCGAACAGCGCGACCAGAGACTCGTGCTGCGTCAGCTGATCGATACAAGAAAAAGCTGTCTGAGTCTCTGTTTGCCTCCTTTTACATCCCAGAACGTCTGACAGAGCTGTTTAGGAGACCCTAATACTTTCACAAGGTCAACAACAAAGGCTTCATCTACATGTTCTGGAGGACAATCAGTAGCCAAGTGTTTTGAACTCTTGCAATCTGAGGTCTGTGTGTGAGCAGAGCAGCATCTCCCACACAGTTCTGTTTGATCTAAGCGTCTTCAAACTAAAACTGAAACTTGGCACTTTGATGTGGTATCAATTACTTTACTTCAAATTGAATGTGCTAAAGCAGGGAGCCTGTCGAACTAAATGTGTGACTGTGTGTGCTATTTGTGCTTTAAATGTTTTATTGTTTGCATTTGATGCGTTTAGACAGCAGTAATGATACTGAGTGGGCTGCCTTGGAATATTGAATTTAACCCTCTACATGCCAAAACCTGCTGGCAGGTTTGAAAGGCATGTTATAATATGAAAACTTGCCACAATTAAACCATGTATAAGAGTCAGAAATAGGAAAACTCTTTAGATTTTTGACTTTCAGACCATCAATAATCGCATCATGTGTGATGTACATTTCTATTCTTACTTTATTTATGTCTCATTCAAGAGTAATTACAAATAAACAACCAGAATCCTGTAAGAATAAACAATAGAATTTACAGTCATGTGAAAAACTTCACTGCAAAACACAGCAGCACAAAAAAACAAATCTTTACTGGTCAGTTTAGGACGGCGCACAAAGGGGTCACAGTGACAAATGTCTGGCTGAGTTGTTTTATGATATACTATCATGCATTATGTTGTTCCACCCTCAGCTGCAGCTGCTCTGCATCAACCACCAAGAGATAGATTCGACCACAGCAGGTCTGAGCAGCAACCACATGCAGCCACAGCGTCACCACATTCAAACAGGGCAGCTGTATTCAGAGCCAGTGGCTGTAAACTGAGTATTCCCCTAAACTGGCGGTGGATTAGTTCAACACACCACCTGGTCAAACGGATCAGGAGGGAATGCAAAACCCATTGTGAGGGGACGGTAGCAGTAAAGTAGTAAAGGAAAAGAAGATGAAGAGTTTGCTGATACACGAGCAGCTCTGTGCGATTGACTTGCGCACATTGTTGGTTTCTTAGCATGTTCATAACGACAAGTAGCATACATGCTGGTTCACTGTCTTAGTTTTGCAAGTTAGGATGCTTTCTAATGTGCACTGAACATAAAGTCCAGTTGAGGCTAATGGGAATGTCATGACGGTTTTTACTATTTGATCATATCCCAAGTAATGAAGTCATATTACAATTTTGACCTGATGCTGGTTCATCCTCTGGATACCACAAATCTCTGCACAAAATTGTACAGCATCTCATTAAATAGCATTTGACATATTTCAATATGGACCAAAGCTGTCAAACTGGCACTGCCATCCCTAAAAAAAACACTAGTAAGATGACCAGCAATCTGTGGTCTAATCAGGCTGCAGCATCATCCTGTTCCAATTTATATAAGATAGAAGTGCAACTTTCTGGATACCAGGGCAGCCTGTTGGATTATTTTCCTGTTTGGTAGCAAAGTTTTTACAGAAATGAGCACCACTATCTGAAAACACAGAAAGACGCACCAGAATACAAACTGTATTCTTTTTGTTTTTCTGCTTTTGAGAGTCTGAAAAGCTCAAAATGTAATTAAATGGCTTGTTATGAAGGCTGCGCTGCCAAAACTGGCCCCAAAAGAACAAAACACAAAACAAGAAATTGCATTACTGCCTGAAAACAATTCAAATTTCACTTCACTTTTGCTGTGTCACAAATTAAACATTTCCATTGCCAGCGCAGCTCAATGTGTCGGCATCCTTTTTATAATAAACCGCAGCTTTAATTCTTGCTTTTAATCCACACACACAGCGTAGCGTTGCAATTTGGTGTCACGACTCAATTGAGAAGCACGAGCAGAAGGTCTAATAAAGGCTGCATAGAATACAATAAACATGAGTTATGCGTCTTTGAAACAACATTCATTAGCGATGCGAGAAGGCGTTCCAGCTACCCAGCAGCCTCTGCTATCGAATATGAGGAGCAACAAAATGACCCACATCTCGACACCAGCTCTCACTTCATTAAAAATGACCATCAATCATCTCACAGCAGCCAAGCCCTGCTTTCATACTGTCAAAGGAGTGTGAAAGCATTTTCTCACCTGTCCAGCCATGAACTGCCCGAAGCCCGGTGGGAACGTGAGTGTGGAGACCAGCAGGGTGACGAGGGCAGGATAGACCAGACGCCTGACAGGAAGAGATGGACTGCAGGGTCATTAATGGGTGTGCTTGTCACACTGTATGTGCATACTTGATTCATAGGTGGGGTCGATGGAGAGTGTATAAATAGGTCCTTAGGATGTGGGTGAAACTGACCCAATTCATACAAGGACTTTGCACTAAATCTCAAAGTGTGACATTAACACTGTGACACAGAGCGTGAAGCCAATTTCAACACAAGCACCACCACGACGATGTGAGCAAAAATCTGGTTACTTTTGGGGTTAAATATAAATTAATCTGTTCTTTCAGACGCATCTTTGACATTTTGGGAAAACTCTTTGCTTTATGGCAGAGAACAAGAGGAGAAGATCAACTATTCTGATGTCTGTCCGTCAGTACAGAGACAGTATACATTAAGTTAGCTTAGCATGAAGCTCAGTAGTTAACAAACTGGATTTGATTTGACTTGAAATCAAAGAGTGAAAAGTAAAAGTTTTGGTTTAATCGTCAGTAATGTGAGAAACCTTGAAGCCGCAATATGTTTTACACTGGTTTCTGTAAAGATTACCGTAAATTCTGGACTATAAGCTGCTACTTTTTTTTCTTTTCTTTGAACACTGCGGCTTAAACAATGATGCGGCTAATTTATGGATCTTTACAATTTTTACGAATTTGCCTCGAGACGAAAGTGACGTTGAGAGCAACAACGAAAGAGAGACTGAGGAAGTGTGTGACCAAGGAATTCTGTTCGATTCCGACACTGAAGAAGACGACTTTAGTGGTTTTAGTGTGCAGGAGGAAGATGAAGATAGCGGTCAACGACTTTTCCTGGTCGGCTGCTGTAGTTTTTATTTTCTTAACCAGCTGTGTTACAGGAACTGTTAGGAAAAAATCATTTACGTATTTGTGTATGTTCCCGATACGTATTTAATTAAAAGTTTTAAAAAGTTTTTCTGCAGCTCATAGACAAGTGCGGCCTAAATATGTACAAAAGTTGTTTCCTTTCTAAAGTTAGTAGGTGCGGCTTTGATCCAGGTCCGGAAATTACGGTAATCAAAAAACATGTTATCCATTAGTGAGGTTTAGAGGAGCTGCTCAGCTGATTTTGTTACCGTCGGACAGATCTTGATTCACAGCCACCCTGTTTTCAGTCTGAGCAAAGCTTGCCTTCTCCTGGCAGCAGCCGCATTGATCTTTTCATCAAACTCTCAGCAGGGAAGCAAATAGGAGTGTTCTCAAAATGTCAAACCGTTCCTTCAAGCTGGAAAAAAGCAGACTAGAGGGTGGAGGTTGTGTGCAAATTTGGAATAAGATACTCACTTCCTCAGCAAGAACTTGTTAATAGTCTTCTGCTTCCTCATGCACTCGACAATCAGGCGGTTCAGGTAGACAAACAGAGCGCCGCCAAAACCGCAGGCGATGCTGCAAACACAAACACACATTGGCTCCATTGAAGGTAAAACAGAAGACCGTCCTGGCTCAGAACAAAACCAGAAGGACGAAGCAACACTGAAACGCAGCTCTGGTGTTTTATTTTTGCCAGGTTATGTCAGTCGCTGCTTGGAAGTCAACCAATGTTAATTTATTGTTTCTCTCTATTAAAACATTTCTCCATGAAACAAATCAAATCTTGCACACGCTGATCTGGATACAGCCTGTGCTTGTAATCAGCAGAGTAAAAAGTTAATTTCATGCCCCATTCATCGAATACAAATCAACCTTCAGACTCCCAACGGGAACGCCACCACGAGGAGACGAACTCAATAAAAAGTCCTCGGTAACTCAGGCGACGAACTGCTCTGGGATCCATTTAACGCGGTGTCAGAGGCACACTCACCCGAGGATGGCGAACGCCGGCAGCTCCTGAAGGTCAAACGGGAAGTCCAGGCGGAAACGGGTCTTAAAGAGAGCAGTGATGGTCTCTGAGGAAAAAGAAAAGTGTTCTCACTCCGTGGACCCTATACGGCAATGTGCTAATGAATGAAAATGTATGATAGAGGCTTTTAAAAAGGGAGCACTTCACACAAAAAGGGTCACATGGCTGCGTGTTCAATATTTACAGAAAATAATAATCACATTTTTAGAATATGAGAGACATTTAAATGCATAATACCACACATAAAGTCACAAATGTGAACAGAAAACCCCGTCTCTCTTGTGCTGTACCTTCCTCCTGGTTCCACACGGCGAGCACTCTGAATATGAAAGCACTGAAGGTGGCAGCGAAGAAGCCCCTCCAGTAGTTTCTCACAGCAAAAAATGTTGATGTGACCTCGATACTGAACAGCACCCCTGCAAGGCACAAACACACCGATACAGTGAGACATTCCCACGACAAAACTGTGTTCAAGAAATGATGTAAATGCATCTTTAATTATTCACAGGGCTGCAACTAACACGTGTTTTCACCATCAATGATTATCTTCATGTCCAAAAATGAACAACATGATTATCTAGAAGAGCTTCCAATTAATCACCTGCTCATTAAGCATTTCATTTCCAGTCATTAAAGCTATCATCCTCAGAGTTTTCACATCCATTATGACTAATAATATAAGTACATTCTAACTGTTTGTGTTGCGACGTGACACGCGTAGAACTCATGTATGTGGTCTGATCGGTGACTGCGTCGTACATACTGTACTGGTGTCAGTTAGAGTTAGTGTAGTCGCACTAAATGAATGAGACAAGGTGTCAATCATGTCCCAAAAACAATCTCCACCTGCCTCTGGTCGTGTGGCCACAAGCAGCTATTCTACTCGACTCAAACAGTGCACACGGGAAAAGTCATTTGTTAAATTAATTATAACTTAAGGCCCTCTCTTTCTCGCGCGCGCTTTTTTTAGTCTTCGGCGTCATGCTCGTCATCCATGGACGATGGAAAAATGCTAAAAAAGATTGTGTTGAAAGCAGCAAAAAAAAGTAGGAAGATTTATTTGTATAGCAAATATGGAACACTCAAAGTGTTTTACATACAATGAAAGACATAAGTGACCAAAACAATATATGAATTATTATAGAAGAAAGGTAACACAATCAGATTACATGAAATACAAGAACGTTTTACCCAAAGATGGCATTAGAGGAAAAGGTTGGGGAAATTGTTGTACTGCTCAAAAAATAACGGGCGTTTGAACTTTTAGATTTCCACAAGTAGGTTTGTTTAAAGGACATGAATATCCAAAGCAAAGTCTTTCAAAAAGTGTAAACTGGCAAAATTAAAGTTTGATAAAAGCCCCGTGGCTTGCTGTCCACAACAAGGCAAAGTATAAAAGCTTATTTTCTTAGACAAGATATAAAATATAAAAAAAAGAAAACACAATAATGCTTAGCATCCAGCACCTAATAATAATCAATAATAGTAACATCAACAACAGTAATCAGAATAATAAGACATGTCATCTATCTCACTTGAATCGTCTATAACTTTGCCAAAAACATGGAAATAATCGTAGGAAATCAATATAGACTATTTATGGACACTGGACTTTGGACACTTTTCTGGATTTTGGACACTAAAGTGTTTGTGTACATCTGGATGTAGATTTTTTTTTTTAATAAATAAAAAACCCAGATTCATCTTGTAGCTACTCTGAACATCCACAGCACATGAACCTGCAACAGAGGATTTTTTTTAGGCCTACACGATTTGTTAACGGTGACGTAAAACCTGTTAAAATTTGTCACAAACAGCTGCTTCTTTACACATCAAGCAGACATGAAGTCGTGTTTCTGGCAACCACAAAAACACACATCTAAAGTCTCCTTCTAGCTCTGTTTTGGTTCAATAAAGCCTCATAAAGCTGAAGGGAAGAGCTCCAGACGAAGGTGATATTTGTTTGCATATTAATCACTAAAAATGACTAATTAAACGCTTTTATGTGGACTGAAGTGTTGATCAAGTGAAAATGGACCTTATAGTGGCTCAAGGTGACCTGAAGTGATGCTAAACATGGAAATTTATGCAAAACTGAACTGCGATCTGACTAATATTTGTTGAGATGCAGGATGCTGGTCTGAGTCACAGAGTTAGACGAGCACGCTGACCAACGCTGGCATCCTGCGCTGCTCGCGGGGTAAATATTCTCTTCATCTAATTAGCTCCTGTAATTATCTGCCATAATTAGATCCAATTCAATCACGGGCTGCAGCCGCGTCGTCTTACCTCCGATAGGGGCAGCAAAGCAGCAGCCCACACCCACCGCACAGGCGGCCGACAGCATCTCCGTGTTCCTCAGCTCGTTCTGTCCGGGACAAACAGATGCACGCACACGTACAAGAACACACACAGAGCCGTGCATTCAAAACACACACGCACGCAGAGATCCCAACAGGTGTATACTGGACATGCAAAAAATGCCACCCACAATGCATTTCTCCTGAAAAAAAAACCCCAAATCACTTCCAGCTTACAAATGCCACAGTTTTGCTGTAAAGCTGCTGCATCTGTTCAGCATTCGATGAGATTACACATTAGAGCAGAGGGAGGCCGTGACTGGAAAAAAACCAGGATTGAGTGTTTGAAATCATGGAATGAGATGTTGGTATCGAAGCAAAAGGCAACACAGATCGATGCCTCACTGCGACGGTTCACTGAACAGAACCAGACGGCGCAGACAAATGGAAAGACATCAATCTATCTCAGAGGCTGAAATGGACAGCATGGATTATTGATGTTGATGGAATTGGCAATAAAGAAACTATCCGACTCGTGCATTCATACCTTGCTTCCCTCAAAGGCCTCTTCCTTTAGCAGTAAAAGTGAAAAAAGACAGAAATATGTGTGAGTGTGGAGGTTACCTTTTCTTTTTTCCTCCTGGCAGATATCCAAACTACACAAAATCAAACAAGCAGCGAATGAGCTTCCGCAAACACAGTCTTGATTCCGGATGAATTAACATTTTTTTTCCCCCCAGATTGATTAGGTTTCCTGGTCGTGCGGTTGACCCCTGGACTATTTGAGTCTTTTCTAACTGCGCTGACACGTGATTTTTTTTTTTCCTTCCTCCACATCACTGCAGTCCTCCACGCTGGTGTTGGTGCAGCGAGGAGAAGCGCAGCACAGCATCCAGTGCAGAAATAGACAGAGGCCCCGGCTGAGGTCGCACATGAGTGGAGGTGAGAGTGTGTCCTGGGGAACGGCAGAAAGTCAAAGAAGCATCAAAGATTTTTCAAGAAATAACTGTGTGTGTGTCTTTTTCTTCTTCCTTCACATATGCGAGCGCTAAAGGACAGAACACAAAGATGGAAAAAAAATCCTCTCTAGTGGGTGTTCTCGATACTTTTAAGTCCACATCAGCTACTTTCAAACACACTACACTACAGACTGCAGATTAAATGAGCAGCATCTTGTTAAGTGTTTTTTTTTTCTCTCTCTCTCTCTCTTGAGAATGAAAGACTCCATTTACTTTAAAGACACAACACATAACATACTGTATTTTTAGTAATCATCTACTTGACCTGGTTCCAGCTGGCTGTAAGTTACACTCAACGTGCAGACGAAGAGGTTTCTCAGAGATCAGCGCTCTCTTTCAGGAACGTCTGGTTCACACTTACATGGAAGCTGCCCGGTACAACCACAATTTGATCCAATAATTTTTTTTTCCTTTCTCTCTGCTGGTTTGATTTTGCACATAACGCATCAAAAGGGTGATTTGTGGATCATGAAAACCCCTCTGCGCTGTCTAATCTTGATGTTTTATCTTCACATGAAGGAGCACAGTGAAGATAATCGTTGATATTATTATAGTTTTGTGTGATTTGATGCGTCTCAGACATATATATGTTGGTGTTTGAAGGTCAGCTACAAACGCTGCTGTTTCTCCTTCCACACACAGATTTAGGGAATCGTGCACTGCCCCACTTCCAGGGCTACAATCAGGATGTAAACAGACAAACAAACGTCTCCCTTTGTGTTCCCTTCAAGTGCAAAAATGCTGTTATGCACAAAGATGTGTTCAGTTGACCTTGAGAGTCTTATTTGAAATCTTCACATTTACTGCTGACGGTGGATGAATTGAAGACATTTCATAGTAATCCTGTTCTCTATCATCTAATAGTCAACATTATTCTTATGGTAAACTGTTTTTAAATGGCTAAAACTGCACATGCACATGTTTTTTTGTGTTTTTTTTAAGTAATATAGTTCTGTCTCATTTCAATCAGGGGTTCAAGACTCATTGGAAACATGAATTGTGGTGCAGCTGAACATATTGTGTCTCAGCATGACATGTCTTCATCTACACTTGGCAAGTTATCTGTGAGAATAAGAAGAATATAACATCAAACAACCAAAAGTGCTCTGGAGCTCAACAAACATCAACAACGACTGTTAAAAACAGAAGTATTCTGGGTGGATTCAAGGTTGCCTTTAAGGTCCCATATGGTGGAAATACATGTCTACTGTGTTTTGTGGTTGTTAATAACTTGGAGGTTTAAATCAAAAGGTGTTAAGATATAAAGACATTTACGAGACAGTAAGAATTTGACTCAGGTTGTAGCTCACTCCTAACTAACCAGAAGTCGTGTAACTTCGTATACTTCTGCCCCCTCACTACCTAGCGCTTGATCGAAGGTGATCTAATCAGCTGCCTCTTAGTTCACCAGGTCTGATTTACCTTCTAAAGCAGCAACTCTAAAATGTCTCAGCCACACGCAGAGCACACAGCATACATGCTGTTGGCTGCAGGAGTGAACACAAAAGGCTTCATGCACTCCCAGCATCTGAGCAACTGAAGACTTTTGATGGTAACGTCACGGCAACAACAGCACGATCCTTTGGGTGAGCACATTGATGTGGTTAACCTGTGGAAATTATAACGCTGAGGGACATTCAGAGATGGTGGAAACTTCAAAACTGATTTGAAACTGGGTGAGTTACTGTGTTTTTATGTCACCTGTTGTCACTGTTTGCTTCTCTCCTGCCCTCTGTGCTCACATATACTGTGCTTAAACTTACATGTAATTTACATATTTTCTGTTTCTGAGTACGAAACCGTGGCTGAAACGCAGCCATCAAGACTTCATGTCAGCCGCCAGTCACTGCTGCTGCTCTGCGCTGTTTAAACACTGAATTCAGCCATATTTCCATGTGCAGTGGTCACTCAGAGAGAAGCTTGAAAGTCCTGGAGTCAGCAGCTGTGTGGTCAACTGTCCTGCGTTGTCAATCATGGACGCAGACTTTCTTTGTGGAGGGGGCCAGAGCAGCAAAACAGCCCGGTTAGAACAGGGCTAAAACCAGGGCTTATACAGCCACAGCCATCTTTGAAGTATGCTGAGCTTAAAAAAAATCGAAAGACACGCCGTAGGGACATGTGAGAATTGCATTAATTTGCTGCAAAGAGGCACAATATGGGACCTTTAAGGGCACCTTCATGAAACAATTCTCATTTTTGACACTTGGAGATTAGAGAGCACCTCCAGCCATGTTTGTTTGTTTGTTTTCAATTTGTTACTGTACGGCTGGATGGATAATAATTATGATTGTCTTTAGAGATATGAGGGGGACGGAGCTCAAAATACAGTTCTGTGCTACAGTCAGAGATCTGGATAGTAGTTTGTTTACCATTCTCACCATGTATATCCCCCCAAAAAGAGCAGCCATGAATTTGCTCAGGAGAGCAGCGCACAGGCTGGCGACATGAACGAAGGGTCCCTGAGAGGAAGGACGGAGAGAGATGTTAGTGAACGGGGATATAACTGCAAGCACATTTAAACACTACACAGAGCATGCTGCACTCGGGTTCAGGGACATTATTCAAACACCTTTGCACGATTAAACCCTGCTCAGGCTCACATTTAAAACTCCTTTATTACCCCTCTGAATGGGGAATCGCAACCGCTATCAGCAGTAAATCACATTTATATTTTCGCAGCCGTGACTTTAATGAGACTAGAAGAAGCAGGACGATTAAATCCTTCGGAGAGGAAACTTCAAGAACTGTCAAGCAATCTGTCACTTGTAATTTGTAAAGTCGAGAAGAAGAAGAAAAAAAAGTCCCTCTACCTCCTTTCCCAGAGGCATCCCGCTGCCCAGAGCGCAGGTCAGGCCAATGACTTTGGCCACAAAGGTCTTGAAAGTCAGATACTCCTTCAGGACCACCCCCCTGAGTATCGTCTTCATCTCCGGGATGCCTGAACCTGAGGAAGGAGAAGAGAGGGAGGCCAGGTGGGATGATGGAGTGGAGAGAAGAGACGAGTTGAAAGAAAGCAATTACACAGAGAGGGAGGAGAAGAATAAATGAAGAGCGAGGGGGATGGGAGGAGAATCTGATTGATATTTAAATCGTTTTCTGCATGCACGTCTCATCGGAGGTATCTTTTATGGATACCCTGCAGATGTGACCACTAAGAGACGTACGGCTCCGTGTCCTTGGAGTCCTTACGGTGCACTACAGAGCCAATTACATTATTCAAACACAGAAAAATGACTATGAATTAGTGATTAGAATAAATAGGTTTATGTATATACTGTGTGTGTGTGTGTGCGTCAGTGTGTGTCTTACCCACAGCCTGAGGCGCCAGGATCTGCGTAAATCCTGCTGAGAAAGTGATGAGTACTACAGGGTAGGTGACCCAGGCGATGTACTGCAGAAGCATGTTGCTGTCCAGCCCACCATACATCCACTTCTGTGCTGCACATACACACAAGTAACTTCATCTCAGTATAATGCGGCAGAGAACCAAACCATCCAGTTTCCACATCTGTCGCCGATCTGCTGAGACTCCTCTCCTTCTTATCTCTGACCTCCTCTAGAGATGTTTTTCTGCATCTCTCGCTTATTCATGCATTTTTTCCGTCACCTTCAGCAGCTCGGTGGCCTCGTGCTCGTTCATCATTCAGCTTTCTTACTAGCAAACTTACCCATTATAGGAAAAAGGAGGAGGAGGAAAAAGAAAGGCTGTTGGTTCCTGGCGAATGCATTAAAACTAAGCGAGGTGTTTAGAGTCTATTTCTCTCCATTTAAGCGCTTTGTCTGCAATAAAAGTGCAGCTTTTAGGTATGGAAACGATCTTTTCAAAAACTCTGTCAGGCTCAAAGTGGCGACATTAGAAGACCTTGCCTTGGACAGGGAAGACAGAGGTTTTGGAAAGTGCGTGGAGAAGTTGGGATTCTCGCTTTCTGTTGCCTCTAACCTCACATTCCCAACCCTGATGGCTCACTTGCAGCCCCTTTGTTACTGGATGTATGTGCTTACAAGGATGAGCGGTTCAATCGAAGACTCATTTTTCCATCTTAGCTTGTCAGCGGCTCAGAGAAATAAAATTAGCTAATTATCTACAATATTAAAGGGCAAGTTTAGTATAAAAAAAAAAGGCCTCTGTTTTCTCAGATAACCTCAGGTTCATTTTGACACCCCTGGGAGCCAAAGCTGATCATTATCCATGTTAATGTAATTTAAAAGATATACAGTAGGTACTGTCATTAACCTCTATGTCTGTCTGTGTTTTTTAAGCTTCTCAGGATTGTTCCCGTTGAAATATCGCTCAGTTTCTGTGTGGTGAGCAGGAAAAAAAAGGGATTTAAGTGTAACTCATAGATACTAGCAGCATTTTCTGTGCTGAAACATTAATTAAATCACTATTGTATGATTGAGACAATAATGATAGACGACTAAACCAGGAGTGTAACACAGTACAGGTGATCATACAGAGCTGGAGAAGACCAGCAGCAGCTCTACGTAGAAAATAAAAGTTGTTCCTGATGCAAAAGTGAGTCATTTTTTGCAACAGCTGAGAAAGAAAAAAAACACCAAAAGCACATTTTTCTAGGAAAATGTGTCGTCTTTTGTTACATCATTGTTCTTCCTCAGTTTCACACATCTGCAAAATCTCTGAACAAAGTGGAAAAGACTGAAATTTGTTCACAGCGAGAAATAAATTCATTGGTTTGAAGACGATCATCTTCACAAAAGGCCTTGTTTTTCTTATTTGCAGATATGAGGTGTGAAATTTCAATTTAAGAAAACATAAAAAAAACTGTCCTGTAAAAAAATTCACTCATTTTCAGGTCTAATTATGTCTTTTATCTATTTTTTGCAATGAAAAATGTCAGTATAGGTACATCTGAGATCGAAGCAAGGGTTTGGGTTAGCAAAAATGTAATTTATTGATTAAAATTATTATAAAAAAAACTATTTTCTTGGCCTACTTTCAAGCTCAGTATAACACAGAGGTGAGCCAGTCAATTCCTATTAATATTTTACAGTTATTCTACTTCATATGACGTCTCTTAGCAGTTTATTATCACTGCAACTTTGCTGCCTCTGTAAAAAAAACAGTCTCACGATCACCGTCTGTCCCTCCACCTGCCGCTCTAACCTGTTCCCCTCTCTCTCCTACCTTCTTGGCAGAAAGCGATGGCGTAGTCCATGACCCAGCTGACGAGAGCCATGAGCAGCCCCAGCAGAATGAGGAAGATCCAGTCCTCTCCCACCCGCGAGATCAGGAACTTCTGGCAGCGAGACGCACAAGCTGATGACACCGAGACAGATAGAGAGAGAGGGCGAGGGGGGAAGGAAATCAAAAGAAAAACCTCTTTAAAAAATAATCTGTGAGGTGTGGTGGGACTGCAGAGGGATATTTGTGAGTTTGACTCAAAGAACCGGCGCTGAAGAGAACAAAGAAGCTCATAGGTGTCTGCAGAGGGGAGAGAAATGGAGGGAAGGAGGACAAAACGAGCTTATTTGGAGGTAGTTCATAAACAAACCATTCAAAGCAGCTCATACACTGTAGTGGATTGAAACAGAAGTAGGAATACAGCATGAAACACTGAAACTTAAAGGGTTTGAAAAGAAAAAGGCAAACTGAGAACTTTTGAAGACAATATGATGACGTGCTGCATATAAATCAGAACCATCTCTACCTGCCTATTTAATATCTTTACCACTTGTTGTCTCAATTTATATATTTATGCATGGAATTAGTGCGACAACACACTGGGACCATTTCTCATGTTAATACTGGATTTAAAGCAGTTATACATGAATGTGCAATTGTCTGGTAGATCAGACATTATTAGTAGATCATCTTGTTTGTTAGATTTTTAGATTCTTATCCATCATGCAATATTGTTAAATATTGACTGATTTGATTTCGGGGATTTTGCATTTAGGGTTTATGTTAGGTGAAATGTTAAAGACTAGTTATGGTATTATTTTTAAAATAACTTTAGTTTTAGTTTCATTTAAAAAGTACAGTGTATTGAAACTTAAACATTTTTGATTATTAAAAAAAGAGAAGAAGGTAATACTCTAGCAGTTGAAGTATTACATTATTATATTGCATTACATTTGATTTATTTGATTATTTTTGTTTATTTTGTCGTTACCTACTTAGTAAAGCGTCTTTGAGTATCTTGAAAAGCGCTAAATAAGTATCATTATTATATCATATTGTAAAATAATGGAAAATGAACATCTTGTCAAAATACAGTAATTTTCAAAAGTTAAAATATATTTTTTTTGGCCTCAATTTTACATAATAACAATAATAATAATAACATCATATGATATAGCTAGATAAACAGATATGATAACATCTGTATTTTGACAGACTACCAGTGATTATATATGTTATACACTGATGAAAACTCATTCATTCAATATTTGTTTATTTAAACTTGAATGTACTAGTTTTAACTATTAAACCAAAAGTCTGTTTGGAGGTTAAACTGTTAGTTGGACAGTTGAGCAAGCTTTGTGTCCTTTACTCTGGGAAATTGTGACGACGTTTCACAATTTCCTGCCACTTTATGAATGAGACAATCGAGCAGGTGATCAGCCAATTAAGAGTAATGAAAAGAATCATTTGTAGCCCTAATAACATGCATCACTTCTGTGGTGTCTGTTTGTCACAGTGATCGATCACCTCCAGCGTTAGACAAAAATAATAAATGCTTTTGTTCTCCGCTGGTTTCAGTCAAAGCGATTCAAGGAATCGTTTGAAGTTGAGAAGTTTGAAACCTCTTCAGGATGTTTCTTTTAGCTCTGTGATGCAGTTAGATGAGGTTGGACTTGATTACCAGGCCACTGCCAAACATCTACAACACACCAGGTGCAGCGCTGTAAGAAGCAGTATGACGTGCTCAGGGTTTTTTTTTTTCTTAGCTAGAACTGAGAAAAGGTCATTCAGACAAAAACATTTTTCTAAATCATGGTGGGACATAAATAATCTCATGAGAACAAGCATCCAGAGGAAAAACAAAGTGTGAATAAAAGGTTCAGTTTAGCGTGAAACTAAAGAGAAAGAGTGAACAAAAAAAAACAGAACAACGAGCGACATGATCAGAGCTATTATCCATTTACCGGGAGCGAGAGATCAGCGACAGAATAAAAACACGCTGATGGAGATTACCGAGCGGTGAATCACTACGTCTTCCTCCACTTCGAATGTGAGAATACGGAGACAAAACAAAGCTAGGTCAGGGTTATAAATGCTACTATTACATTATAATCTATAACTCTGAGCTAGGTCAGCTAAAAGAAGCATCACTGGACTCATTTCTTCCCTCTTGTCTGCGGACACTGCCAAAGCCTGGAATTCACTCCAATATCCAGAGCATTCATAGATGTGCTCGTCCCCAGAGACGCTCAAAATGTGCTACTAACACATTTGCCAGATCCATACTTCATAAAAAAAACCCTGCTACAGTCGAGACACCTCAAGCTTTTATTATGTTTTTTTAATGTCTTGCTTATAAAGTGCCGTTCGTCATGAAGAAAACTGTCAGGTTTTAGAAAAAATAAATAAATCAAGGGAAGCGACAGATGTGTGGGTGATAGTGAAACAGACACACAAAGACCGGGATGAGCACAAAAAGCTGCTTAAAGGATAAGGCTGCTAATATTGCATGTTTTTTTCCCTTGCTGTGAATAAATTCCTTTAAATAAAATGGACCAGTTCTCTCAAATAAAAATAGATATTTGGCCATTTTGCCAGAAAACTGACAGCGAAATAACTGATTGACCAAAAGCTGCCGCTCCAGTGAAAGTCACCTTCGAACTTCAGCACTAATTTACATTTTCCGTTGACTCCACATGCACTTAATATTCATTTACATTTACTCCTGCTTGAGTAACGTTTGGTAAAAGTGCTCAGCTGTTTTAGGAAAGTATTTATTGTGATGTCACCCACTGGTTTGAGGTCTTGTTTTTGGAATTTGTCACCTTGGTCTTTTGAAACTAGACATGAAGAGCGAGGGGCGGATGTGACAGAGGATTTAAAAATATTATGCACGACAGCATGACTTGTCAATCACAAGGTAGCTGCACCCAAAAACAACACACCCTGCTTTATCCTCTATTTCACCCTAAATGGCACCACAATATATGGAATGAACATCATGATGTATGGAAGGAGACTTAAGAATT